TGCCCAAGGCCACACAAGAAGTCTGTGAAAGAGTAGGGAACCGAGCCTGGGTCTCCTGAGGCCCAGATTAGCATCCAAACCCCTAGACCATTGTTCCGGACTATGCCATTAGCTTCCTCTATGCCTTTGAGAAAACTACTTAATTGCTCTGTGCCTCAGATTCTCTATCAGTCAAAAGGCATATTAGTACTGGAACACTCCATAAAGCACCCTTACATCTTTGGACTGAAAAATATTAATGATTTATTACTAAGAAATTCTGAATGAAGTCACAGGCTGGTGCTTTCTGTAGTATACTGCTTTCCAGTGGCTTTCAGGAGGGAGACTGATTTCTGAGACAGCCTAAATCAGGTATTTCTCTCACTAAGTCCTATGAGCAGTAGTAAATGGAAGCAGTTACTTAAATGCTTCTTTTTAAACTTTCATAGAAACTAGATAAAGTGACAGTGTAGCTAGACAAAACCATTTCAAACATTCTTTCTGGATATAGCAAATACAAGGGAGGATGGTCAAAGACGGTGACTGCTTTAGGCAGAGGCATAATAGAGCTGGGTGCCTGGGGCAGCTGCAATACATGGGGGCAGCAGTGGCTTCCAGCTGTCACTGTGCCATCAATGCAATTGTGTGGCTGTGGCACCAATGGTTTATTGCCACCCCCCTCCCCAGCCAAGTTGGCACCCAGGGTGGCTGCCTCAGTTGTCCCACCCTACTCATTTTAAGTCCTGTGCATAGGACTGGAAGTAGCCACATGCTCAGTGTCTTGAGAATATGCCTCTCACTGGAGTTGGTGAGGTCCCTTGAACACGATACACTCAAACTCTCTTGTACTAGAGTCCTATGAGTCCTTGGCTGTAGTCCTGTAGCATAAATTTTTGCTTTATTTATTATGTTTAAATGATAATAGTATTGAATTGATAAGCCTCTATGATTGTATTAGCTTTATTTCTCTTTGTCTCTTATGAACAATTTTATGAATAACTGAAACTCCATTTTTTTGCGCGTTCCCTTCTTGACATAAGTAGACGAACTTTGTATGCCCTGTGTACATGAGTGTATGTGTGAGAGGGTAAATGGTGAAAGAATGGTAACTATTTGCATGAAAACAGAAGAAGATTTAATTGATTGTGTAAGCAACAAGGTGCCAATATATGAGTTACCAGACAGTAAACTAATTAATGGATGGCTGAAGAACTTATCTGTAATCAGGTGCAAAGAAGATAGTAAGAAGAACGAATTTTGCATATTGCATATCCTGCCATTTCAACTACACAATGCTTCAAGGAGGCGATAACCAACGTCACTGGAATGACCTCAAGTTGAGATAACCAAAAGAAACAACCTCTAATTAAAAACTGAAGCATGGAAAAACCCCAGTGCTGAACAGACTTGAAATTCTTATAAAAGTGAGATGCAGACAAGCCAAGATGGGGAATCCATTCTTTGCAACCTCCTGGAGCACAGGAGTTTGTATACCCCCACTCATATTCTGGATTGGCCATCCAGTGCTAACTTCTGCTGGTAACTATAACATTACTGGAGTGGTTTGTCTGTATGCTTGTGTATGTCTGTTTGTATGACTGGTGTGTCCAAGTTTATGTATCTGTTTCATGTAATCAATAAACATGGCATTTTACCTTATCCCCCTTTTTAAGGTCTAACTCTTAATTTGAGCTATTGGCAATTTTAAGTAACAGTCCTATGAGCCACTGGAATCCTAGAATTGGCGTAGCATGCAGGCAGGCCCAGACATCTCCTTCTGGGAAATAAATGCAGTTCCTAACCCCCAGCAAGAACTGAGTTCAACAGGTTACCCACACCTGTTAGCATAGAGTAGAACTAGTCAGTTCCTATGCACACAGCCTTGAGTGGGCTGTAGTTATTTCTTAAAAGAGGGATCAGTATCATCTCACCTCCATCTGTTGCAACCACCTGTTGTTTCTTACCCTATACACAGATTCCAAGTTTTCCAGGGCAAACACCATTTCTTTACTATAAGAGTGTTCAATGTCTGGCACAACGGGACTTCAGCTGTGAGGTGCTACTGACACATAGCTAAAATAATAATAAACATAGGATAAATGGCACCTGAACAATGCAGCACTATAACTTTGAGTAGGTGAGTCAATCTCATGAGGCCAATTGGAACTTGGAATATGTGGGTCTTATTGATAACTACTGGAAATTGGAGTTTCAAAGTCAGTTTTATTATTTTTTTTACATTAGGGATGTTTTAATGATCAATTGAGCAACTGATGAATCTATAGAAGTGCTTTAAACATGATCTTGACAACTAAAATGTGTGCGAGGTTTGGGAGTGTAAAGTCCAATGTCTTCTGTTGGGACCTTCATTTTTCTCTGTTCTAGAGGACCTCCTCAAATTGAACAAACAGGGAGATGCTTTGCTGACAATGTCCTGTGTGCTGGCTGGGATGTTCCTTACAATACCCACAAATGTGTGGCTACTTCCAGTTGACAGGAAGGACACCTGTCTTAGGAAGTAACAGAGTTGCATGCTTCCTGTCAAGGAAGGAGAGTTAGACTGTATGTGTCAGCAGCAGGAGGCAAGATCCATCAGCAATCAGCAGTGGGGCTTGAACGTTTAACTGAATTCATGCTTATGTCATTAGTCCAGAGACTATGCCCATCAGTTAGGAGACCCTGTGGGCATGTAACATCTTTAATTCTCCATTTTTATTCGCTTTCAGACCCTTAAAGGCTGCCTAGGGATTTACTCCTCTCCTCCAAAAACTAGATGCAGTCATTTGACTTTTATCTTGAACTCTGGCTTGGTTTTCTCTGCACCCATCCTATGCATTTGACACTTTTTCTGCTGCACAGCAAAACTGTGAATGCCAGCAAATGACTCTGCAGAATTCTTCTCAGGATAAGTGCTGCCACCCACTCCATCATGTCCTCTCTGCCAGATGGGCAACCCTCTCACACCCACACTTCTACTAGAATGCAAGAGTACTTGTTCTCTGGTCATTCCCCACTCAGGTGACTTGCTCCTATTTAAAACTCCAGGATATAAAATGAACATCGGTTTCTGAACAGAAACAGCACAGACTTGTTTGCAGAGAGGCATTCTTGAGTACATTAAAATCCAGTCAAGTCTTATCAGTTAGAGATGGTTCACTGTGGTCATTTACAAACAGTAAATAGGCTATTGTGACAGAGAAATGTTGGCTTATCTTTGTAATACCCAGGTAAGTGAATCCATTGGGAACATGGTGCTTTAAAGTGTTAGCTGAAATGACGCTAAGGAAAGGGGAGACCTAAGCATTCTAGTTCTGTTGAGTCTGCCTGAAAACTAAGCAGCAGCAAGAGCCTATGTTTTGGAAAAGGGGAATCTGGTAGGCATGTTCTCCTTCTAAAAAGCCACATGCCTGAAAAAGTTCCACACCGATTTGCTGAATATTCTCTGTTTAACTGTAACTAGTGTGAAGGGCAGTTTGCTGATATGGGAGAGGGCACTGAATGGGGAGGAGGCGTGCCATTATGAACTTCACTCACTTGTCTCAGCATTAAGGTACTTGTTATGGGATATGGCTGAAATTCACTTCATGCAGGAATGGTGGGAAGAAAGAGGTGACTTTACCAACCCATGACATAAGTTAGAGCAGCCTCAGTGCTGCCCTAATACAACCTCAAGGGGTATTTGAGCAGTCAAAAATAGCCACAACACAGTGGTGCTCAGGCCACATTCCCTCTCCCTCAAAACTTACCCTAACACTTGCCAGCATCAATAAACTAGGTTTGGATTAGACCTCAGGAAAAACATACTTAATGCTAGAACAATAAGGCGGTACAACAGACTACCCAAGGGAATAATGGGGTTTCCTCCTTTGGAGATTTTTTGAGAGGAGGCTGAATAAGCATTGGCTGGGGATGATTTAAGAGTAGCATTCCTGTATCATGCAGGGGTTTGACCAGATGATCTTTGAGGTCCCTTATGAGTCTATGATTCTGGGCGAAAAAGGATTGGGTGTTGCAGAATCATTATGCCAGTTCAAGCTACCATGAAGGCCTTCTGTGACAGTCTGTATTCAATGGTAGCTTGATATACAGGCCTATATGATTTTTATGACACCCAAGTGTGTAAAGAAACCACAGGGAAACAGATGACGTGGACCTCTATCTTTATTTAAAACTCCAGTGATCAGAAGAAAAAAACTGAAGAACAATGCATACAGTAAGCAGCAGGCTTTGGCTGTAGCCTGACTGAAGGCAATTGAATTAGTTCCTTTTGTATCTACCTGTTTTCTTTGTTCATATTTACATTTTCTATCTTTTAATCTTTATTCTGAATGGTGCATGTTGGTTGCACACAGTTTTGCTGCTCTATGGCTCTCTTGTATGAAAAATACATCTTTTGTGGTGGAGAGAGGAGTGGGGGAAAGAATCTGCAATAAAATATTTAGACTGTGTTTTCAGGACCTATAAGGTTAAAGAAAAATATCCAATAACCTCAGCTGGTTTTAGTAGGACTGGGCAATATCTACTTCTGTTTTTTAAGTTAACTCCCTGTTAAGATAGGACAGGGCCCTTTGACCATAAGCTACTGCGTGTCTTTAAGTAGAGAGCTGGCTTTAGGTGCCAATGACTCCTGCAGCTATGGAAAGCTTTTGCATTATTTTCCCCATAAACTGAAAGCAAGTTTATGGTGATGCCAGCATCACCATATTGACCCCAAAGAAATCTCGCATGGTGCTTAGAGGGGGGCCAAGTTTAAGAACATGCTGAGGCCAAAAAAGAAAGAGTCTGGAAGTAACTAGAGCCATGATCACAAAGGTAGGAAGTAGGTCAGCACCAAAGACTCTCCTTCTGAGTCATAAAAGCCAGATGACTTTGGCATGGAAAAAAATCCCACAGTCTTAACAAACTCTACCTTCAACTGAATTGCTGCCAAAAGGCAGTGACTGATATTTTGCCTCCCAGTGCCCCCACTAGTGAGGGTGGAGACCCAGTCCTTATACCATAGGCTCTTGGAGGGCACTCACTTTTTCCTTGTTATCCATGGTGATGGCGATCTGCATCCGCCTCCCTCTCCGGAAAGCCACCAGGTGGTCCACTTCTTCTTCACTCAGGTCTGGGACCCTGCCTGGACTCAAGAGACAATCTGAGCTCCGTTTCTCACTGACAATCCGCTTCCCCTAGAAATAAGAAAGCAAAAACAGCATATACTCAGGGACACTAGAATTAGTCCCTACGTAAAACTCTCCTCATGATAGTGGCTGCAACAGGGTAGAGGTGAATTGAGGAACTGGCTTAGTAGGGATCCAGGATCCCTTCCATTCAGTGTCCTGGTTTGAAAGTTGCCATGTTGGATACTTCAAAGGAAAACATAACATTCACCAAAATATACCTACTAAATACAAGGAGAAAAAATTCTTCTTGTTTTCAGTTAATTCAAAGCCTGGGTAATGACTTAGCCTTTTATCCTATAGTTGAGTTCTCACCTCCTCCTCTTTGCCCCTTACTATGCTATTTTCCTCAAAATCCAGTGGTTACATTGGAGAAAAAGCAGGGATACTCCCTAAGGTCCCATTCACAAAAAGTTATTCCACTCAAAAACATGGTCTGACACTTGATACTCTATAACCTTCTCACATGATTGTCCATTGCCTTTCTAGAGAGATTCAGTCAGCAGTGATATACTTGGCAATTCTGACATTTAAACTCTTGTCATGAATCAGGGGCAGCTCACACCATTTAGTCATTACTTCCAGCTGTCTGCTCAATCAGGTACACGTCACTGTGTCAGCTCATATCTGATTCCCAATTTGTTATCTTCACAGCTGCTGACAGAGTCCCTCAGCAGGGAATTCCACAAGAGGAATATATATTTTTATACAAAAATATTTTCTTTTACACATTTAAAATAAATTGCCTCCCAGTTTTGTTGCATGCCATTTTGTTCTTGTCTTGCAGGAGAGGGTAGCAGGTCATCTTTATACAGATGATTATGTCATGCTATATACAGATCACTACATTGTATCACTCCTTAGTTTCCTCCTTTGCAAACAAGGATGACATTTTTAAAAGTGCCTAAGTTATTTAAGTTACTACATAATGCAACTTAGGTGCCAAAGTCATTTAGGTGCTTTTGAACATTTTATTCCTGGTCTTTTTATTTTATTTTCACGAGTGCCTCTTAAGCCTGTCTTTGCTAATGTTGTGCAAACCTCAGCTGTTTTAGTTTACAAGGGACAACACACTTTCTTTATTTTCCATCTGTTGTTTTAATGCAGCCCTAAGTTTTGGTTTTGCACAAACTCAAAATCTCAAAACAAGAGTTTGCCTGAATCAGGGAGTAACTGCAAATTTGTCTATAAAAACAGAGCTGGACCTATGTTTGTTCAATACGTTTGCCAACCTCAGCATTCCTTTCATTGAATTTATAATAACCCATGATATCCAACATGTTTCATTGTAGCCTTATCTACATTAGGTTATACCACAGGTCCAGTTCTTAGCCACAGACGGAGCCATGGTATAAGGCAGCCAGGTGCCATAACCAGGCTTATGGGCAGTCAGAGGCAGCAGACCTGGGGGCAATATAGCAGGGGCTGCACACTGTGAGGGGCATATACCCAGGGGCTACAGGCCATGATGGCTGCACACTGACCCCTCTTCCCATTTCATGTGCAGCATGGGCCACCTAGCTCCCCTTCTCTCCCAGCTGCACACACCGCCTGCCTGAAGCGCAGAGAGCCTGTTTCCCTTCTTTGCTGTGCATGCAGTTCAGGCGCTCAAGCCCCCCTTGGCTTCTGGTGCAGGAGGAACTGAGAGAGAAGGAAGGAAGAGTGGCATCTGGGCAGGAGCCCATGGTCTGCATACTCTCTTTAAGGAGACATATGCAGCCCATGGGCCACCAGTTGGACAGTCCCAGCATAAACAAGGCTCATGCAATGAAACTAATTTTTATCAGCATTTCAATGAAACTTTTTAGCAATACATGGTAAAAGACTAGAAGGTAGCAGAGACTTTTAGACACTAGCAGCATATTCATTTCTTGACCATACTGGTTTCAAATCTGTATAACACCACTGGCTTTACAAGAATTACTCTTGATTTACACTAGCATAAGTAAAAAGAGACTTTCTCACAGCCTGAGCCTCCATTAACAGTGATGGGAATTTTTGTGAAATTCCCTAGTGTATGCACAGCTCTAGCTTTAGGTTTTTGTTGTAATTTCTAATCATTTTCATTGCCTTTCTTGGGACCTTTGCTATTTTTGCTGTGTTCTGTTTAAACTGAGATAATTGCAACCAAATGTTGTATTTGAAGCAAGGATCTGACATCAATCATTTTAATGGTTTCCACTGTTCTCTGTCCCCATGTCAGTACAGCCTAATAGTTTATGTTAGCTTGCCTCCTGCTGTGACCTGAGTGGATGCCTTCACTGAGATATCCCAGTGATGTCAAGCTCCTTTTCCTGAGATGTTAAAATTAAACGGGAAACCAGCATGACAGTCAGAAGAATGAGAGGTCAGTCAAAAGAATCGGAGATCCACTGGTATCAGATTGTCAACGTCACGTTAACTTGAGCCCAAAGGACATGTGCTGTAGAAGTCCCCATCCTCATGAACTATGAAAGCTATTTTAAAGACATTAGTAAATCCTTATGGAGGGTGTGATAATCTGGCAGAGCCCCTCAGAAAGGATCTTCTTTTGTTTACTACAGGTGGGCCTGACCCACAAACGTCAGGCCTGATCCAAACTTCTCCAAAAGCCCAGGGCCTAACCCAAGGTTTGCATTCCACCCATAACAAAGTGCTACATATTTATGTGTTTGCCCAATGTTATGCTCCAGTTGTTGGTCCAGAGAAGATAAGAGAATTTAATATAAAGTGAAGACATTCTCCTTAGCTGAATTGCTAAAGGACTAGGTTTTTGGAGCAGAAGGAAGAGAGATCTACAAGTCTCAGCTCCATGTGAGATTTCTTTAGTAATTTTGCTTGTAGTCTTCCATGGTTTCGAGCATCTCTACAATACATTTTCAGGCCACAACCTACATATCAAACTCCAATGTGCCACACAATTCCTGCCTGAATAATCATCAGTGGGTGCATCTACACAAGACTTTTACTGTGGAAATAACTAATTAGCTCTGCAGTAAAGTCTCAGCATCTACACATGCAGCCCTATAAGGTCACAGTAAATTAATAAATGACACCATAGGATAGCACTTGGAAACACAGGGTGTGTGTAGACAAAACGGGGCCCCTAAATTGAAGTGGTGAGTTTTTAAAAACACTGCTTCAATTTAGGGTGAAGTAAAACCCCCGTGCCATGTACACCCATGTCTTCCCTGCCTCTCCAGCGGCGGGAAGGGGAGGACAAGCTGCTGGAGGGTGGAGCAGTCCCTGGGCTGCAGTGCGGGGGGGGGTAGAGTTGGTGCTTCCCTCCATGGCAGCAGTGGCCCCCTGGCCCAGGCAGGACCCATCCACAGGCATCTGGCTTGGGCAGTCCCAGGGGGCACTGCAGCTGCAGAGGGAAGGACCAGGTCCCTGCACAGCTCATGCAGGCAGGCAGGCTCCGGGGCAGAGGGGCGGGGGTGCCACGGGATCAGGCTCGCCATATTTTTTTTCTTCAGTGGAGCCTGCCTTCCCACACTGCTGCCAGGTGGCCTGCACAGGCTGTCTGCACAGTCCCTGAGCCGCACAGAGCCCAGTGCTTCGCTTTGCACCTGTAGGACAGCAAACAAACTCCTCGGAGGTGTTTTAGTTTGCTGTACCCCAAAGTCATTTAAGGTGCATTATGCCACCAAATGTGCTAAACGGCTGGAATTAACGTGCAATACACCACCGACACGTGCAAACACCAACACCATTAAAACGGTGCAAAAGCATTTAACCTGCTTTAACGTGTTGTGCACACATACCCCTCGCTTCGTCTACACATGCCCACGAGTACTATCCTGCTGTGGTGGTATTTAGTGTGCTGCATCACATGTGTAGACACTGACCCAACAGGCTGGGGCACAAGGGTGTTTCAGTGCGGGGGCTGGCAGCCCCCACATTGAAGCACCCTCGTGCCTCAACAAGCCCTTCCACAGCACACTGAGCAGGTCAGAGCAGCCTGGGCTGGCAGACTGACCCCTAGGTCCCCCTCCCATTAGAGATGCTTCAACACAGCTCAGCATGCTGCAGTCCCAGGTGCATGTGTAAACATGGCAACTGTGAGCAATAAACTTCAGTGAGAACTGTGCTGGAGTTTATTAAATCATATAATTGGACGTGTAGATGTACCCAGTGATACTTACAAAAGAGTGCTCATCCTTGAAGCATATGTACAGCATTTATAGGTCTGGTTCACCCATATTATAAAACCACTGAGATCAAAAGAGTCATGCCAGCCAGCAATAAATATGGCTCATGTGCATCAGAATAATGCCATGCTTTCACCTTTCTGTCACCCATTACAACCACCCCTGTTCTAAAACTATTCTTCATTAATGTTTCTTTAATGGGTTTCCAGTAGCTTTCATGCCCAGAGCAATTTATCAGAGCCTTCTGCCTGTATCTGCATCACACTCCTCCTGAGTGAGTTCCATGCTTCTATTAAAGAACTCAGCATCCTCAGCACTATATCACTTGTATCACTCTTCTAAAGGAAATGGAAAAGGACAGTCTGCTCCCACCTTCAAAGAAGAGCTGCTGGGGACTACAGCAGTGATGACTCCTTTTTCTAAAAGGATCCCTTTGTCCTCTCAAACCAGATTCTGTCAGATTATAATCTATCCTGAGAAGAGTTGACAGCCCTTGAGACTCATTGAAGTCAACAGACTTCTATACACTTTGCAAGATGGGGCTAGGAAAGAGCTATCTGCAGTTGGGAACCCTAATGCTATTTCAAGGATAACTCAGCATTGTAAATATATTCTGACACAGCTTTTCTAAGCATTTGATATTTCTTGAGCCTGGTGCCATTTCAGTGTTACAGCCAAGCACATCATTATTCTTACAAGTATCATTATTTCAACAAAGTGTCTTTGCTCTAGTGTTGATAAATATAGCCCGTAGTATACATATGGAAGTGCATTTTGCCACTCTGAGCTCCAAAGAACACTTCGTATATACTAAGCTGTGCTGACAATGTTAACAACTAGCTGGAGAACTGCAGTCCTCTGTGATCTGTAAAGCCCTGA